GTCGCGTCACTCATCAATACAAACACCTCAAGAGATGATCCATTCATGCAATCTATAGACCGCTTCCAACACCAAAATGTCTGCTTTGTTCACAAACACTGCCATAGAGTGCATGCATTCACACGAACGCATACATACAGTCATACAGTCATACAGTCATACATACAGCCAGTCATACACTGCCTAAACGGGTCCACCACTCAGTCGTCCACTGGGAGGCGCCACCACCACATCCAATCGAGACTCCATTGCATCCCCACAACAACACAGTGAACTATCACTACAGCACTGCTCAACGACAGGCTGTACTTCAGTGCCAGTGTATGGCGTCATTGAAGTACAGCCAGTGTTGGAAGTGAGGCAACAGTGGGACAGTTGAGTGACTCTCCTATCATATGATACATACGTCGTATTGAATGACTGTTTGCAGCTGTGATTGGATTCAGTGTTTACTTTCGTTAGTCATTGTCTGCACACAAACACCACTTACTATAACGCACTCAACAGTGATCACCACAAACACCACGAACAAGACCAACACTACCAACACTACCACCGATGGCTAATCCCAACAAGTCGTTCAAACAAAGACGATCTTTTGGTACAAAGCATTCACTCATTCAGACATTCATTCATTTGTTTTGTTGTTGTCTCAAGTCTTACCATTCATTGCGTCCAATATTGGGATCAATTGAATGAGATTTTGTGTCCATTTCATGTCAAATATCTTAATGTTTGCTTTGTTTTGATTCTCAGCGCAACGCAAACAAGACGTCGAGGAGATCCGCAATCTTCACCCAAACAAGGTTTGCATTGTTGCAGCATTAGCTCAATGGCATCGCCACTGACACCCATTGTCTCGTCCAACAGATCCCAGTAGTGATCGAACGCTTTCACGGCGAGAAGCAGTTGCCACTCCTCGACAGGACTAAGTTCTTAGTGCCCGATCACGTGTCCATTGGGGAACTCATCAAAATAATCAGGTATTCATCCACTTTGGTGTCCATTGTGTCCATTGTCTCCATTCAACTCAATCCATGTGTCGTTTGTCTGCCAGACGTCGCCTCCAATTACATCCAAATCAGGCGTTCTTTCTGTTGATAAACCAGCGATCGATAGCAGCCGTGTCTACCACTATGGGGGAGATCTATGAGAGGGAACGGGTATGTCATGACATGTAGTGCACTGTCTATCCGTTCGCGCACTAATGAGTGGTGTGTTTAGGATGAGGACGGCTTCCTGTATGTGGTCTACGCTTCCCAAGAAGTGTTCGGTTGACACATGTGTTCACTCATACGATATGATATTTGGGCTCATTTTGTGGTCATATATCATATGATATATACAGTAATATTTGAATCGTTATATGAATGGATGAATGGACTAAAACTGTATATAAGTTGTATTTGTATTATAAAAACACTTCAATTCATTGCAGAATTCTCTCCAATACTTACTATATGTTTGATTTTCATTGACTGTAATTTCAAATATAATATACAAATTATCCAATTTTCTCTATATTTAAATACACGTCAAATCAAAAGGATTTAAACGTAAAATTATCGATAAATCAGTCCTTAATTGTTGGGTAAAGAAATGCTAAAATATTTAAATACAGTTATTATTATTATGTAAAACCATTTGTTAACAATTGTCATAATATAAACATAAAAAAGTGAATGTCTTTCTGTTTTTGTAATAGATTTTAGACTTCAATCGATTGATTCGACTCTGGAATCGCATTATATTTAGAATTCATTGTTATTCAAAGAATTATAAATAAATGTAAATTAAAATCCAAATTTAATTTTCAATTTATTATTGCCAATACAATTACACATTTGACTCGAGCTTTCATTCAGTTTATACGGTAAATGGGTATTAAAGGTAATACTGTATGACATTGCATTGGATAGTACCGTAAGTTATGTCAATTCTAATACTTAAAAGTTAACTCCAGAATAACGAGTATTCAATTAACAAAGTAAACATGTGATCTAAGTTTACAGTTAAATATTTGTGTACCGTATAAACTTTGTTCAATAACTTTCATTTTATTCAACCACGAGCTTTGCAAAATTTGTACACATTATGCAATTCAATCAAACGTATCGTATATTATACGTATTACCGTACACTATACGGAATGATAGCAATGCACAGGTGAGTCACACTTTATTCTTATCAGTAGTCATAAAATTAATTTCATTTCTTATTTAACGGTTAATTTACATAATTAAATAGAAAGCTATTCAAAACTAATGTCAAACCGGTTCACATCCATAACCTTTTAATGTCATCAAATTGGTACCACTCAATGCTTTATGGCTGACAATAGCAGCAGATATTTTATGGTAATTCTTGAGTGAATCGCACACAGAGGCCGAGTGGTTGTCGTAACCCATTGGGAGCCGTATATCATATTTTTCAACATTCTTTGCGGCCTTTTTGTAGTATCTCTTCGTCGGACTCCTCACTAACTGTGGCGTCTGTTCCGTCTCATCCGATTGATTACAATTCACTTCTAACTGTTTATCACTTTCTAATTCATTACCATTATTACTATTACTATTATCTTCGCATTCGTTTCTAGTTTTCTTAGATTTCTTGCGTCTCTTTGATTTTTCTTTTACGGGTAAATCATTTGATTCATTCAATTCATTGTCTATTTCTATAGGGAAGCCATCGTTCAAATTGTTGTTCACATTCTCTTCCATTAGTTTTCGTTTTCTCTTCCCTTTCTTCACATTATTTTCACTCAAATTAGAGTCCGTTTCGGAATTATTTAGATTATCATTCGTTTCAGTCATCACATTATGTTTGCCATTCATTGTGTCCTTTTCAGACACACAGTTCCGAACATCACTAATCACTTCATCACTCGTTTCCTTTTGGTTCACCACTTCCTGATTGGTGTCAATGGAATCGACTTTCATTGCATTCATTTTAAGTTTCAATTTATTCATTTTGGACGTGAAGTAGTCATTCATATTGAGACTGCTCTCCACCGTCTTAAAGGC